CACCAGTGGGGAGGGGGCGGTGGGATCCCTCGTTGTTGTGGGGGGGGTCAGTTCCCCCAGGCCAGCTCTGATGCACCCACCCCAAAATCCCACCCAAAAAAGCCCATTTATTCCCCCCCGGACTCACCCCGGGCAGGCGGTGGGTGCAGATCCCACCCAGGAGAGCCTGGATTTCGGGCATCTCGTGTTTTGTCCTTTGTCCTGAGCTCAGTTTCCCAAGAATTCAACCCTTGTCACAGGTAGAAACAAATCCCAGGACTCCTCTGGGATGGCAGATCCTTCCAGGAAGGGGCCCCAGAGGTTTTTTTTCAAGCCATCGTGTCTATTTTTTTTGACAGTTAGAGCAGTCTGAAGTGTCCTCTGATGCTCAGGTGGAGTTTTGGGATGAAGAACTGGAGATTTGGGCCCTGTCTCAGGAGCAGCACCAGGTGAAGCCAATGAGAGTTCCAGGTGCTGGATGTTTCTAAATGGGTCCTTGTTTATTAACTTAATGAGCTGATGTATAAAACCTGGGGGCAGTTTGCCCCAGGGAGGAGTTTCTGGAAGAGTTTGGAAAGCAAAGAGGTCCTAGGTTGTATCAGAAGAAGCATGAGGAGCAGGTTGAGGGGGGGATTGTCTCCTTCTGCTCCAAGCTGGTGAGACCTCCTTGCAGGGCTGGGTCCAGTTCTGGAGCCCCCAGTGTCAGGAAGATATGGAGAGAGTCCAGAGGAGGCCACAGAGATGATGGGAGGGCTGGAGCAGCTCTGGAGCCAGGCTGGGAGAGTTGGGGTGTTGAGCCTGGAGAAGAGAAGGCTCCAGGGAGACCTTAGAGCACCTTCCAGTGCCTGAAGGGGCTCCAGGAAAGCTGGGGAGGGACTTGGGACAAGGGCAGGGAGGGATGGGATGAGGGGGATGGATGAAAAGTGGGAGAGGGAGATGGAGGTTGGAGATGAGGAGGGAATTCTTGGGTGTGAGGGTGGTGAGAGCCTGGCCCAGGTTGCCCAGGGAAGCTGTGGCTGCCCCATCCCTGGAAGGGTTGAAGGGCAGGCTGGATATGCTCACAGGTAACTAAAAATGACCTTTGTTTCTCTTGTAGGAGCAGAGCAGAACTGTCCCTGGGCTCCTTCCCATGCTCCACACACACCCAACCCTGGGCAGCACAGGTGGTGCATCAGAGAGAACTTGGTGCTGGAGAGATCCTGCTTTGCTTTCAGATCCTCCTCAGCAGGGTTAACCTCTCCTGCCTCTCCCCCTTGTCTGACTGATTGCTCCAAATTACCATATAGATTGAGAAAGCCAGGCCTGTGATTTCACAAGAGCTCATTTGGAGGAGACCCTCATCCAGTCCTGATCTCTGGAGCTGCTTTCCTTGGAGACCAGCCCTGCCCTCTGCCTGATGAGAAGAGCAGCTGATGTTCTCCTTGTGAAAGCACAGTGAGGTAAGAGAGTGACCTGCCCCAGCCTGTTCCTCTCCCCATTTCCCCCTTTTCTCTGCCAAATCCATTCTTCCTAAACCTGAAAAACCACTTCAGGGTCAACCACAATCCCCTGCCCCACACTGTTCCTCCTGAAACCCAAGCTGGGACAGGAGCAGGACCTGCTGCAGGAATGGCACCAGCCACCCCCCCACAGTGAATTCCCAGAGTCTTCCCCAGGCCAGCATGATAGAAGGTGCTTTGGTTTTAGGGACATGGTTTAGTGGTGGCCTTGGCACTGCTGGGTTGATGGTCTTAGAGGTCTTTTCCAACCAAACCAATTCCATTATTCTGGTTTATTCCTGTGGTTTTGTGCTTGCAGGGTAAGGCAGTGCCCTTGTCAGGGGCTTTTTCCAACCAGGGAAGCACAATTCCCAGCCTGGGTTTGAGACATAAAAACCCTGTTCCCCTTCTTTAGATCCAGGCTGAGATGCAGGAATTCAGGGTTCCTCCTGAAGGCAGGACCAGCAGCACAGGATCTCAAAGCAGGAGTGGGACCTTCAGGACTCATGGTGCTACCTTCTTGTGTCTTTAAACCACAGCAGGGACATAATCCTCCCTGTGTCACAGCTTCTAGTGTGGGAAACTTCATGTCTAGCAGCAAAGTTCAAATGGAATCTGTTGCTTTGGACCTAAAAATGGGCCAGGTGATTGTCCCCATCTCACAACAAGTCCTTCTCCACACTAGGCTCTGCTGTCTTGCCAGAGCTGAAGAGCCCCAAACTGTCCCAGTTTTGGCTGCCACACCAGGAGGTGGTTATAAAGGGAGCTGAGTCCTACCAGTGCTTCCCCAGAGCAATCCAGGCATCCACCTTGGAGCCAGGATGAGCTCTGCTCAAGCCCCAACACTGATCGTTGGGCTCTATTGAATAATTACTGTTACTCTGTAATTAGCACTTGGTGAGTTTTTTTTTGTCTCCCAGGGATGGGGGAGAAGCTTTTCTGCTGTGCCAGGGAACTGAAGGTGTCTGGGGTTGGAGAGGAGGTGGATGGGCAGCTTGGCTGCTGCTGGGCTTAACCAGGCAGGGATCAAAACACCTCCTGGAGCCACTGGTGTCACCTCCTGCTTCTGCCTCCAGCTCAGCAGACACAGTCATGGCTCAGCAGAAGTTAATCAAGGAGCAGAGGTGAGTGAGGTCTTCATTAGGCATTGATATTGAAATGAGGGGGGGGAAGGGCCCTTAATGAAATGGGGGAAGAAGGGAACTTGGAAGGAGAACAGAGCAAAAAAGGGGAAGCAGCAGTGTAGGAAAAGAGGGAACCTGACCTCTGGGGACCTGGTGGAGACACAGAAACCCAAACAAGCAACATTCTTCTTGCTTTAGCAGCAGAATTTCTCCTGAAGGGCTCACACACCCTCCTTCCCAGCAAACTGCCCAGTGTCCTGGAGCTAAATCAGTGTCTTCTTCATCCCAGACTGCCCTCAGGTCCACATGGCCCAGCTTAGGGAGGTTGGCTCTTGCTCCAGGGCCAGAGGGGACCTTTACCATGCCAAATCCTTCCTTGCACCCTGCTCCAGACAGGCTGCTACTAAGCACAGCCTTGAAGCTCCAGGAAAGGTGGCTGCACCCTCCAGAGTTGCAGGATCATTCACCTCAGCAACAGTCAGAGATGAGCCTGGGAGGGTTATCCCAGCAAGGCCATCACCTCCTTCCTGCACAGCCCAGCAGGAAGATGGTTTCCCAAGCTAAAGGCTGCCATTCATAGAATGAGTTGGGTGGGAAGGGACCTGAAAGCTCATCCAGATCCAACTCCCTGCATGGGCAGGGACACCTCCCACCAGCCCAGGTTGCTCCAAGCCCCATCCAACCTGCCCTTCAACACCCCCAGGGATGGGGCAGCCACAGCTTCCCTGGGCAGCCTGGGCCAGGCTCTCACCACCCTCCCACCCAAGAATTCCCTCCTCATCTCCAACCTCCATCTCCCTCTCCCAGTTTTCATCCATCCCCCTCATCCCATCTGTCCTGGTTTGAGCCAGGATGAAGCCATCCCTCCCTGCCCTTGTCCCAAGTCCCTCCCCAGCTTTCCTGGAGCCCCTTCAGGCACTGGAAGCTGCTCTAAGGTCTCCCTGGAGCCTTCTCTTCTCCAGGTGTAACACCTCCAACCCTCCCAGCCTCTCTCCAGAGCCGAGCTGTTCCAGCCCTCAGATAATCCCCAGGGCTCCTTTGGACCCTTTTCAACAGGTCCATGTCTCTCCTGTGCTGCTTTCCATCTCCCCTCAAGACCATCCCACCACCCTCTTCCCAACCCCATCTCAATGGAACACATTGCTGGGGAGAGGTGTGATCTTCTCCAGTGAGAGGGTGGTTTCACACTCCTCGTGCATCACCACAGGCAAGGCATCCAGAGGGCAGGTGTTGTGAGAGGGCTGGGAGACCTGAGAAACTTTGTCCAAGGACTCCTCATTGTTTTCCATCTGCAGAGCAGTGTGGGGGAGAAGCTGGGGGTAGCTGAGGGTCACCAGCTCCTTCTGATAGGTGGTGTCATGGTGGTAGGAGACCAGCTCATTGCTGAAGTTCACTGTCTCCACTGCATTGCTGGGGCAGAGGCAGCCACAGCCCAAAAGGGTTGCAAAAGCTCTCCTGAAGTCTGCATTGAAGGCGTAGATGATGGGGTTGAGGGAAGAGTTGGCCCACCCAAACCAGACAAAGATGTTGAAGACAGTCTTGCTGACACAAGGGAGCTCTCCTGGCTGATGGAGGTCAAGATCACAGAAGGGCACCATGCAGTTGAGCACAAAGAAGGGCAGCCAGCAGAAGACAAAGACCCCCATGATGATGGAGAGAGTCTTGAGGACCTTGGTCTCCTTCTTGAAGGAGTTCTTCAGGGAGGCCTCATGAGGGCAGTTGATTTTGGGGCAGTTTGGGGCACGTTCCACTGCCCTCTCCAGGGAGGAGATCCTGCGGATCTGTCGCCGGGCGATGCGGAAGATCCGGGTGTACATCCCAACCATGATGGCAACAGGGATGTAGAAGCTGATGAGAGAAGATGAGATGGCATAAGTCCTGTTGAGGCTGGAATCACAGTTCTCCTCTTCCCTGGTGGTATTAAACCGTGATTCCTGGTGGCTCTGGAGCCCACCATCCTTGTGCCACTCCAGCTGCACGGGGATGAAGGAAATCAAGAGGGACAGTAGCCAAGTCACCCCGATCATGGCAAGAGCCACGTGCTGGGTCATGTTCCTCTGGTAGCAGAACGGGTTGGAGATAGCCCAGTAACGGTCCACGCTGATGATGCACAAGTTGAGGATGGAGGCTGTGGAGCAGGTGATATCAAAAGCCACCCAAACATCACAAAAAGCCCCAAAGGGCCAGGATCCCAGCACCTGGGTGGCAGCCTTCCAGGGCATCACCAGAACAGCCACCAGGAGGTCAGAAACTGCCAAGGAGATGACAAAGAAATTGGTGACCTTCGAGCGCAAGTGTCTGAACTTGACCACGGCCACGCACACCAGGGTGTTGCCCAGAAGTGTGGAGAGGATGAGGAGGAAGAGGAAGGCAGCTGTCAGCACACGGAGGGACAGGTTGGAGTGGCCTTCCTCTGCCCAGCTCTTCCTCCTGCTGCTGTCATCCATCACATCCTGCACGTCTTCCGCGGAGGAGTAAAATCCATCCATGGGGTCCCCCCTTTATTCCAGTCCTTTGGGAGGTTCCACAACTGTCCAGCTCCCCAGCAGCCTCCAAACCCTCCCTTTACAGCTCTGCTGCCATCTCAGAAGAACCACCTAAAATCCTCCCAGCTCTCACACCCAGCCAGATCACCCAGCACCAGGAGAAGTGCTGGAAGCTCTTGCTCCTTTCCAGATGTCCTGCTGACAACCTGGTGCTTGTTTCTTTCCCCCAACCCTCTCTTTCCTCCCACCCCACTTCCCTTTCCTTGCAGCCTGCACTCACCTCCAGCACTGGAGTGAGCTGGGAGGGCTGTGCTGCAAACCTTCCTCCTCCTCTCTCAGGAGCTCTTCATCTGTTGTTGGTCCTCTACCTGCTCCAGAATCCCAGTCAATCCATTCTGGCCAGGCTGGGACTTGCTGGCAGATTCCAGAGGGAATCAGAGCTCTCTGTTCTTGCAGGTGGACCTTCTGTGCTCACAACCAGGCTGCTCTGCTGGCTGCTCTTCCCTCTGGATCTCACTGGAGTGAGATCTCTCACTGCCTGCACACCAGGTGGGTCCCTCTGCAAACCAACAAGGATGTGGAATCTGCAGCTGGCAGGGGAAGTTGCTTGGGAATTAGGTGGTAGGACTGTGGTGGGGGGGAATAATATTCAAGTGGGATTTGAATATTCAATGCAAAGCAGGATGGAAATTTCCTGTGCTTCCTCCTCCTAAATTTGCTGAGCAGACACTGGGTCCCAGCTCACACATCTGATCCCACACCAGTTGCTCCCCTCTGTCCCCAGCTGCAAAACTGGCATTTATTTTCCACTACAAAATTCCTTCAAGTCCACAGGGAAGGAAAAAAATAAACCAAGCCAACAACAAACACTACAACCTACAAACCCACCCTTGTACAAATCTGGAAGGCTTTTCTTTCTGGAAGTATCAGACAAAGCAGAGTTCTCAGTGTTTCTTTCAGAAGTTACATGTGGGACCAAAGAGGGTGTTGAACATCACTTGGTTAATTTTTTTCTTTAATCCTGAATGAACAGGAATATTTTCAGTCAAGTAGAATAAGATAGTTTGTCTTCCAAGTTCATAATTCTTTCTTTAAATCAAATTCCTAAGTAGTTCCACATTATCTATCAACTGACAGCTGAAACCAGAAGAATCAAGATGTCTTTCCCAGCACAGTACCAGCAAACAGGGGTCACCCCAAGAGGTCTCCCCCCACCACCACCATTCTTCCAAAAGCACAGGAACAGCTCTTTCCACACCAGGGCTCAGCAGAGGTGACAGCTCCAGGCTCTCACCTCCTCCTGTCCTGCCAAAGGTGGGGACACAGCCTGGGATGGGAAGGCAGCAATCAGGTACGGCAGGGCTGGAGGAACAAGCTGAGATCCCCCTCTAAAACTTCTCCTTTCCCCACCCCATGAAGCTCTCACTCCAGACTAACAAGCAAACAGCTCTGCAAGACCCTTCCCTCTTACACCACAGCTTGAGGAACCAGGTCTGACCTGGCACAATTCAGCCTTGGAAGCAAGAAGCTCCCACCCATCCCTTCATAACCTAAGCCCCTCTGTGAGGAACAGGCTCCTCTGATCAAAGACCTGCTGGACAAATCCTTCAGGACACAAGTTTCCTTGAGACCTGTTCCTGAGGAAAGCTTGGCTGGGCTAACAAAAGGTGGGAAAGAGCAGCAAAAACTTTCCAAACCCAAACTGAAAAAACAATCAGGCAGTTCAGTGTTCATCCACTCATTGCACTGACAGTTGCTGTGGTGTATCCAAATGATCTCTGCCTGTCACACCCAGCCAGTCTGTCCAGGCTCAGCTCAGATGAGGTTTAATTAACCTGACCCTCTGACCCAGGCTTTAAGCCTAGAAGGAGCAGGAACTGCCCCAGGACAACTTTCAAACAAGAGCACAATTACCCTCTTGATGACGCAGCACCAAGAAGCTTGTTCCTAAAGTCAACAGCTTTGTGACAGGTCAAAGCAACTTGTTGCCAGCATGTCACAGTATTTTCTTCTGCGGGCTTTGTTTAATTAAGCCTCATTAGTTCCGCCGTCTGCAGCCGCCTCCTGCCAAGCGCCTGAGCCAGGAGAAACAGCTAGATGGCACCAGCAGCTCGCTCGGGTCGGTGTCAGGCCAACTCTCACCAGCCCCCCTGGCTCCTCAGCAGCTTCTCACCAGCCCCCCTGGCTCCTCAGCAGCTCCTCACCAGCTTCTCACCAGTCCACCCTTGCTCCTCACCATCATTTCATCCAAGGAAAAGGAGGATCCAACTGCCTGCCCAGGACCCTGGCACTGCCATGATGCCCTGTCCTCTGTGCCCCAAAGGGCTTATTTTATTTTCTCATATTCCCTAGACTGAGCAGAAAGATTTTTCTCCAGACCTAATTTTGAAGATACCAGCAAGATGTTCTCACTCTGATGGGAGAGATTTGTCACCCAGCATTAAGTGATGGCAGAGCTGGGAGTGGGAGCTCATGGCACACTCAGGTCACACATGCTAAGCCAAAAGCATTCCAGGAACTCATTTCTGGATGTCCAAGGAAGCCTTCCTCCTCCTGAGGAGCTTAAAACCAGCTCTGCCCTGGAGACAGGCTGGGAGAGTGGGGTTGTTCAGCCTGGAGAAGAGAAGGCTCCAGGGAGACCTGAGAGCAGCTTCCAGTGCCTGAAGGGGCTCCAGGAAAGCTGGGGAGAGGCTTGGGACAAGGGCAGGGAGGGAGAGGACAAGGGGGGGTGGATTGAAACTGGGAGAGGGAGATGGAGGTTGGAGATGAGGAGGGAATTCTTTGGTGTGAGGGTGGTGAGAGCCTGGCCCAGGTTGCCCAGGGAAGCTGTGGCTGCCCCATCCCTGGGGGTGTTGAAGGGCAGGTTGGATGGGGCTTGGAGCAGCCTGGGCTGGTGGGAGGTGTCCCTGCCCATGCAGGGGTGGGACTGGATGATTTTTCAGGTCCCTTCCAACCCAAAGCATTGCATGACTTTGTCATTAAATTACTAAACAGTTGCTACATTTCCTCACACAAGCAGCTATTTTTTTCCTGAGAATCAAGTTAAGTGCTATTTTAAACAGCACTCAAAGATGATAAGATTCCAGTTTGGTGGCAATTGAGCTCTAGGTTTTTATATTTAATTTCCTCACCCAGCAAGAAGCTGCCCTCTATTTCCCTTCCCTGCTGTCTCACCAAAATATACTTAAAATTCTCTATTCAGCCATCTTGATTGCATTCCCCACTTTGCATCAAAGGAAGAAAATTACAAGCTACTTCAAATAAAGCAGAAGCTGCTTGGGTTTAACTCTTCAAAGCCTCTTCCAGACTGGCTGCTTTACAGAATTACAGGACTGTTTATTTCTAGAGAATCATGGAATGGTTTGAGTTGGAAGGGACCTGAAAGATCACCCAGATCCAACCCCCTGCATGGGCAGGGACACCTCCCACCAGCCCAGGCTGCTCCAAGCCCCATCCAACCTACCCTTCAACACCCCCAGGGTTTGGGCAGCCACAGCTTCCCTGGGCAACCTGGGCCAGGCTCTCACCACACTCAAAATTACTTTGCACTTCCAGAGAAGATTACAGGGGGAGAGAAAGACAGCAGGGGGGAAACCAGGGGCAATCAGATCCTTTGACAAAAGACCCTACTGGCTGTGGGCAAGTCCTGCACCTTCCCAGAGCTGAGCTGTAGACAGCACAGGAACAAAAAACTTCCTCCTCCCTGTCTGTCCCTGTAAAACACCACAGTAGCTTTCTGGGGATCAGGTCAGATCAAACCTCTTGCCAAGGGAAACAGGCTCCAAACAAGCTTAATTCAGCCATCTAAATATCAGAGGGAAGTAAGAGTCATTTGAGTAGTTTATACACCATGTTCCTCTGTCTACATTCATTGTCTTTAGGCAGGAAATAACAATACCAGCCCTCAGGGCTGCATGGCTTCATTAAAAGCACGAGGAGTTGGAGAACTATCCCAGAATAAGGCTGATGTTCTCTCCAGTAAAAAACAAAGGGCTCAGTTGGGAGACTTGGTGACACACCAGTTTTCGCCACGGCCACACGACTGTGTCTGAGCCTTGAAACTACACCTTTGTGGGATGCACAAAGAAGTGGAGAGATAAGACTGAAGCTGAAGCCAAGAGAAAGCAGGAAACCTTTCCAAATGGATCCAGCTGAAGGTTGTACAACCCAAAACTCAGCACAGGCTGCTTGGTAAAAACAGACATTTAAACACTGTGTTAAAACACAGTGACTGCTGGAGGGTTTGTTTTTTTTAAACAAAGACTCAGTAAGGTCTGAGTCTGGTACAGAAGTTTCTCACTTGGTTTTTTGACAAAGAAGCCCAGGAATCTGCCTGTTTTCTTTCAGCAGAGAAGCTTTATAGATGCAGAAGCACAGCTGGAACAGCATGAATATGGCAGTGATCTGTGGCACAGAGAAAAGAAAAGGAGGCACCACAAAGGACTCTGCTTCCTCCCCTCCCCTTTATTACACGTATGCAGAAAACAAGTGTTTTTTCTCCCATTTACTTCCAAAGGAAAGGAATACAGAGCTTCAAGTCATTTCACATAATTAATTCCATGTGCAGCCTGGATAAACTGTGAGCTGGCACAGCACACCTTCTCTGGCAGGAGTCTGCACCCTCAGACAAAGTGACAAAGAAGCCAGAGCCAACGCAGCACCCTGGTGACACCTCATTTCTTCCCCTGTCCTCTGGGGCAAAAGCTGGGACATCAGGAATTAACAGGACATGAGAAGTCTAGCCTTAATTTACCACTCACCCAAGCTGCATCCTCATGGCTCAAGCAGTGGAGCTTGGGATAGGAGGCAGAGTGGAAATGGATGGTGAGAGGAACACATTCCCAGTCAGGGAGAGGAGGACTGGTCATAAATCAACCCCTCCTCAGTCACTCCCCTGCCAGGCACAGGTTCTGTGTCCAGAAAACCCAGTTAACAGGACATTCCCTCTTTCCTGACATTCATTTAGTCCTGGTAGGCATCAGGCTTCCTGCTCTTCCATGTGCATGTGTGGAGTAAAAAAGGGACCTGCAAAAGATGAGGATTTCACTTCCCAGGGGTATAAGGATGGCTCTAAAAACCATCCTCAGTTGCTGCGCTTGGGTGGTTTGGCATTTAGAAACATTCCCAGGGGTTTTGGTTTGGGGCTTTCTGGTAACTTGTGGAATGGCAAGATTAAGACTGAAGGCAAAGGCAAGGCTGTTGTAGGAAACCATCCTCCCAAAGGGAAAATTCCTCCCAGAGGGAAAATGAGGCACCCCTTTCTCCTTCCACCCCAAATCCCTCTGCATGAGACCTCAAAGCTGCTCATCCTGCAGCTTCCAAGAGGTTTTGCAAGGAGGGAAGGTACCAAAAAAGAGCAAGCAGCTCCAATTTCAAGTAAGAGCAAGCAGAAACTTCTTAGATGATGATGTCTGTAAGACTCCATCACAACAGGCAGCAGCAGCAAACTCCTTCATTTCAAGATCTTTTGCAGGTCTCCCTTTTAAGGCCTTAGTATCATTACAGAAAGAGGAATTATTTTTGTCTTGTGCTTGGAATTGCTGCCCTCTAGAGCAACATCATCTCCTACAATGGAACAGTTACAGTGTCCAGCTGTCCAGGACCGTGCAAAATACAGACAGGGAGGGGTAGAACTATCACCAGGTGCTTAAGCTTGTTGCTGAGAAGGACTGTCCTTGACATAAGTTAATGTGCCAAGTGTCTGAAACAACCACACAAACAGCCAAATGTTGAGCAACTGCAAGACTTGCTGCAACTCAGGTTCTCAACATCAGCCACAGCAAAGAGGGGAGAGAAACAAAACCAAACGAGCACTGTTATGGGTAGAGTTGATCTTCACTGGGCAGGACAGAGAATTGAGTTCCCAGAAGGGAAGATTGGATGTCACCAAGTGACCAAGTCAAATTGAGACCAGTGCAGATGTTGGCACAGAGATGACAAACACCAGCTGGGGCCAGTTCCAGAGTGGATTGTCATGGCAGGAGATCCTGTTGCTGAGCAAAGTGATATCCATGAAGAACAGGGGAGCGTTGCCCCTCTCCCCAGAAGTTCTAGTCATTAGTTAAGGAACCTTAAGACAACTCTTCAAACTGCAGCAACAGGATATTGTTGGGTCTTTAGAGATTCAGTCCCAGAGCTGTTTTGGGTTCAGAGGAAGCAGAGGGAGCTTTTTGTGCCAAATCTATAAAGAAAATTGCAACAGAAAGAGGTCAGTTTTCATCAGGAAGAGGAACTAGATCAACCATGTCCATAACCAACAAGTTCAGAGCACCTCAGGGCTTCAATATGCAGCTTAATTCCCTTGGAAATGCACACTTCAGGTTTGGAATGGGATGCTGAGCATCCTCCTGCCCTGAAACTGGGGAATATAAGCTGCCCAAATAGGAAGAAAACCACACATATGGACAGTCCTGTCTAACTGTTCACTAAGAGATTCCTGAAATGAAAATTCAAGGCTATTTCCCCCTGCCCAAGACAGGTCAAAGGAAAATCAGCATGCACTGCAAGTCCATAAGCTCTGCTCACTCACTAAATAAAGACTAGTTTAGTACTAGTTTAAGCAGACATAACTAGAACAGATAATACACATAGTAAGTATTCCAGGACAGAGAAAAAGCTGCACACTTGGCAGCAACAGGGATGAAAATGCTGGTCTGCTTAACACTATTAACAGAACACACAAATAAACCACTGCCTGGCTTTGTTAAACAACAATTAGAAATAATTAATCCAAGCACTAACTCCCTCCTAGAGCCTTCAACCTGCCCTGTATCTCATGGCAAAGAGGCCAGGCTAGCTAACACAACTTGCTGACATACCTCCATCAGAAATAGAGAGCTTTTCCAACTCAGCTTCAAGCTCAGCATCAGAAATGGGTGGGTTCAGCACCTTCTGGGGTACAGGAGGCAGATCTACAGGCTCTTTAGTTGAGTCCTGGAGGAGACTGTCCAGCTCCTTCTCAAGTTCCTCAGTGTCCATCTCTGCTGACCAAAGAAAACAGTCAGTTCCCAGCAGAATTAAGTAGGACAGACTCAAGTCCATGTTTAGCAGAGATATTATTACTTCCATCCATCATTATAGTCAGAAAGTCCCTGTGCTGCTGCTAAAGGTGAAGATTCAGCCCTGATCCCAGGGAGAAGCTGTTCCTTTAGAAGCCTTGGTGGCATCTCAGGACAAGGAGACATTTCAGCAGAGACAAACAAGCAGCAGCAACACACAGGCCAGAGGAAAAAGATCATCACTTCAAAAAGAAAGCAGAAGCCACTCTGAAAATAGATTTCAATTCCACAACTCTGAACTGAAACCCATCAGCACTTCACAGACTGCAAGGGCTGGGAGATGCACAAATGCTGGTTTCCCTGCAACCCATGGTCAGAGAACTCCTTGTCACTCCTCACTCCCTCTCAAGGCACAGGTAGCAAAAGTCTTGGAATTTCAGGAAGTGCTTATGCCCCCCAAAAAAGGAGGAGGGCATTATGTCCCCATATGTGGAGAGAGTGATCATCATCATAGGATGGTCTGAGTTGGTATATGGGGGGAGAGTGAAGTGATCATCATCATAGGATGGTCTGAGTTGGAAGGGACCTTAAAGATCATCTAGTTCCAACCCCCCTGCATGGAAAGAAGAACAACAACAAAAAAAAGGATGAAAACCCCCAAAACATACCTAGACCATTGATCCCCACTCCAGCCAGAGTCTGGGCTACTTCATCTTGAGTATCACAAAGCTGAGGGGAAAAAAAAGATAGGGTTTGATATAGAATAGAAAGTCATCTTATGTCTCACTGTAGTCACCTGGGGCAAAAAGAGAAAAAAACAAAAAGCAAACAAAAAAAAAATGAAAATCAACAGAAAGGTGTTAGTGCAAAGAGACTGTTTTTTTCACTAGTGAAAGCAGTAAATGGAAGATTATTTAATCAAGTGCTACAAGACCAAGTAGCATGTTTGATGGTCAAACTTGAAACAGAATTTCATATTAAAAAAAAAATGAAAATCCCCTCAATTTGAGCTTTTTCACAGAAGTAATGAGCTTATATTGCAGCTTAGGCTACAGACAAATATATCTCAGCTATGAAATTGTACAGGCAGCCCTTCAGCTCACTAGTTGAAGTCACTGTTGAATTACAAGGAGCTGAAGTTACTTTAAAAATAATCCTCCTCCATTTTTTACAGCAGCTCGTGCAGGGATTGTTTTTTCATTTCAATGATTTCAGAATAAACTCAGCTCCTTTCCCTTACTGAATTGCAGATTATGGGTTAGACAGTTGCAAGGCACTGTTTTTATGTACATGGTTGCATCTCAGCTTCCAAAGGAGTGAGTTCTAATACATCTCACTGAACACTTTCTAGGGGAGTTGTCTGCTTGCACCATCAAAAGAACAGAAATGCAGAAATTTAATGACAAGTTGTGATTACTGGCAATAAATGCAAGATAAACCCAAACACAGCCAGTTATCTGACCACTGATGGCTGGGTGAGCTTGCTGTCCACATCTACATGGGCAGGGACACCACCCACCAGCCCAGGTTGCTCCAAGCCCCATCCAACCTGCCCTTCAACACCCCCAGGGATGGGGCAGCCACAGCTTCCCTGGGCAACCTGGGACAGAGTCTCACCACCCTCACAGGGTTGTTTATTTAGCTGTGCTCTTCTTTCAGTACCTCTTGGATCTGATCCACCAGGTTCTCTGCCTTCTCCACAGTAACATCCTTCATGGACAGTTTCAGGGCTCCCATACCAGCCTGATAGGCATGAAATACCTTTAAAAAAAAACAAAGTAAGATGCACAATGCTAAGAACAAACACAATTCAAGCAGGATCCTCTGAGAAGTATCACATACAAGAAGAAAATAGAGCCACCAGCAGGTTTATTCAGAGAAGTATCCACAAAAAAATCCTGGATAAAGGATAAAATCCCCCCAGACAGGAACTCCTGACAAGCAGGAA